AGGTCTTTTGAAGATAACCAAGTTTGGGCTGCGTATGATGATGATGATGGCATGCCTCGTTTTTATGCTATGATTCATAAGGTGATATCCTTTAAGCCATTTAAGATGCAGATAAGTTGGCTTAACTCAAAAACCACCAGTGAATTTGGTACAACAGACTGGGTAGGTTCTGGTTTCTCTAAAACTTGTGGGTTTTTGAGGGTTGGCAAACATGAATTCACCGAGTCTCTAAATTCATTTTCCCACAAAGTTAAGTGGGAAAAAGGTCCACGTGGGACTGTTGGCATATATCCCAAGAAGGGGGATGTGTGGGCTGTCTACAGAAACTGGTCCCCTGACTGGAATGAGCATACTCCAGATGAAGTGATACATAAGTATGAGATGGTGGAAGTGCTTGCTGACTATGATGAGGATCAAGGTGTGTATGTTGCTTCTCTTATCAAGGTCGCTGGTTTCAGGACTGTCTTTTGTCCAAATACAGACCCCGAGAAAGTAAGGAGAATACCAAAAGAGGAGATGTTTCAATTCTCTCATCAAGTCCCACACTATTTGCTCACAGGTCAAGAAGCTCAAAATGCTCCAAAGGGCTGCCTGGAACTGGACCCAGCAGCTTCCCCTTTGGAACTTCTTCAGGCAATTACAGAAGCTAATGATGGGAAAGCTGGAAAAGAGATGTCACAGAGTGTCTCAGAAATTGGGGTAGACGAGATTGTGACTAATACCACAGAGGCCAAGGAAGAACAGATGGTAGAGAATGGTGTATAAACCAAGGAAGGAGAGATGGTAGGCACCATGAAGTAGCCGAGGAAGCTGCCGTGGTAGATAATGCCGAAAAATGCTGAAGCAGAACAAGAAGTTTGCTGGAGATACAGTGTGAGTTTGGTTTTTAGTTATATGGTTTAGAATTAAAAGAGGAGGACGTTTTGGTGACAATGATAGAACTTATGCATTGGCTTTCACGAAGTCAAGTCTAACCGCAGTTTTGTCTGCAAATTGAATACTAGCTTTATAGGATTGAAATACATGATTCTTGTTTAATTTTTATTGGTCAAATGTGAATGCTCTCTTACCTATTGGATTTGCCTCTTAAGAATAGGGTTTTCTACTTATCTTCCTGCTCATCGTAAATAGTTTATACTCAAGGGACCATTCGTTGGTTGCTTTATGATCAATCAAGTATACTAATGAGCAACCTATCTTTTTCTTGTACCTAACATTGATTTGTTCAATTGATTTACCTATTCTAAGATGAATTATGTTGTATCCTCGGCTTGTCTATATCCATCTCAGGGTAGTTGTGTTCTTGCTATTATATGGTTGTAGAGCTCAGGAGTGTTTTCAAGGAGTTGTTTTTTGTGGAAGAAACAAAGGTTGGGATAATGGTGACCTTTTTGGATATGCACTGGCCCCTAGTTTTTCTGCTTTGTTCTGTTTGCCCGCAGAATACATCAGATGCAAAATTCTGGCATGGAACTAGCACCTAATCTGACTTTGGTTAACAAAACTTGAACCGACTTAAAAAAAACTACGTGAAAATCCGGGAATTGATTCTGAATTCTGTTCTTCTGTTGTCTCATGTTTTTAGTGTAGTGGAAAAATAATCCAATTTGCAGGTAAGGATTGGTGGTGTTGGTGGTAAATTCCATTGTTTGTTTTTTATCCAATTCAAACCAAAACCAACTGTAGATGGGCTCACTGGATGCAACTAATTTAACCTTGTTTATGGATTTGGACGGGTTGAAACGGGTTAAATTGAACGGATTTATGATTTCTGACTGTGTTTTGCCATCTCTAAATGCATAGCATACCCAATGTGCAACAAAGTTAGATGATGTACCTAGCCATGAAAATGAAATAGGGAACTAAGCTGCAAGGCTCCTGATATCCTTAATTCCATGTTATCACTATTGTCATAGTTATAACAGATTCAAGTACTTAGGGCATGTCTGATTAGACGAATTGTAGCATAAGATTGAGATTATTAATTCATAAATTTGTATTTTATTGTTTGGTTGTAATTTTTGTTATTCATATTAGATTTTGATAGACATTTTATCTAACAAAATTTGCGAATTTTTTAATCCTATAACTAATAATACAAAACAAACATATGATTTGGATTATATATTTTTATATTCATTACAAAACAAACGTGGATAAAAAGAATTATTTATTTTAGGATAAATTACAAACACACCTTTTGAGGTTTACTTAAATTACAAATTATCTCATATGGTTTTAAAAATTACATTATGTCCCTTAAGATTTTTAATTTCATAACAAATAGGTCATTTTATTAATAAATCATCAAGTTAATTAACAATTTTTAATAATGTTAAAATTTTATTTCAATTAATAATTCAGATAATTTTATTATTATATAGATAAACAGTTAGAAATTTCACTTTTTCAATTAATTTTGTTAAATAAAAAATTCTGACAATGAGATATTTGTAATTTTTTGAACTACAGGGGATAATTTGTATTTTAAATAAATTTCAGAGGGTATATTTATAATTTACCCTTTATTTTACTAATTCAGCTAAACAACCAATAATGTACTAATATCATGGATTGGTTAATAGGATTAGTAGATCAGTGATAAAAATTATTAATTTTACATATACATGTAAGCCAGTTAAACCGATATATTAGTGGTTTCGATTTTTTAGTGGATTGATAAATTTTAACCTACAATCCTATTGATGTACTAATTTTTATCACCCAACTTATTCAATTCAACCCGCTCACTTTCTCAAACCACATGGTTGGTGCAAGGTGATAGATTCGCCAAAGTTTATTTCACACTCCTAGTAACTACATGTGAATATTATAATAATTTCTTCTTAAGGATCCTTAACATTGCTCCTCCATTTAAAGTTTTCTTTGCATGTGCACTGTGCAACCATTGGTTTTCATTCCACATGGCCAAGTGCAAGCTGCCTTTAGTTGCTTTGTTGTGTCCATAATTGCTTTGGTGATTTGAGAGAATAAACAAAGATGATGGAGCCCATTTTTACAACAACAAAATGAGTAAATTTTTTACACACACAAAAAACCTTGATATTATAATTCAATTTTATGAATTTTGTATATTAATTAATTTCCTTTTTTTTTTCTAAATGACTGTACCCTACTTGATCTAAGTCCCATGTACTTGGGCTCAGTCAGGTTGGTTGTGAGAAAGGGGTATTTCTCTGACTGTCAAACTCTCTGTGTTTCAGAATTGGTTCTTTCTTGGGATTCTCTTTTGTATCAGAGTTACTTACCAACCCTGTGTTTCAGAACTATTTTCATTTGACTTTCAAAAAAGCTAAAAAAATAAAATAATCAATAAATACACTTTAAATCCTCCTGCTCACGTGAATTCTCACAAATAAAACCAAAAAAAAGTATTCTCAAAAATAAAACAAAACAATCGCTACCAAAGAATGACTCAATCCCATTCGAAAGTATCCCATTGAATAAAACGCTTTACATGAACATATATATATATATTTGAAATATTATTTATACAAATAAATATTATATATTTTAATAAATTTTACGCCTAGAAATTTGTAGACTTATACTTGAGAAGAAAAATGGTTATGTATAAAGGTAAATATGGTCCGAATTGATTTGATTTGATTTGAGATAAAATCATAGTTAATTTGTTATTTACGGTTTCATAAAAATTAGGGTAAATTACAAACACTCCTTCGAGATTTGGTGAAAATACAAATTTCCCCTGAGGTTTGAGAAATTACATCACACTCCCTGAGGTTTATATTTTCATAATAAATTGCCTCTAGAAGTTTTTATTTTTATACAGATTCCCCCTAATTTCCCCTAATTTGTTAGGAAAATTTGACCCTTAGGGGGCAATTTGTAATTTATCAAACCTCAAAGGAGAATCTATATTTTTACCAAATCTCGAGGGAGTGTTTGTAATTTGCCTTAAAAATTAGAACCAAATCAATTCATTTAAATTATAAAATCAATCTAAACTAAACCATTTAAACACAGTTCGGTTCAGTTTAAAATTGCAATTTCACAAAATATATTCACAAGAAAAATCATATAACATTTACCAAACAAACTAGTATTTAGCAAATATTGTTCAATATTAATCTACCCATGATTTTTCGAAACATTAACATATTTTTATACCATTAACTTAAACAAACATAATATCTAATAAATAAACATATTATTCAAAATGTAATAACCATGAAACTCCTATCAAATAAACATTGTTTTGTCAACAACAATTACAAAACTATGCTAAATAATTTAAAAAATCAGTTCTAACAGCATAGAAAACAGAAGAGAACACTGAAACGATATGAATTCCTCCTATTTGGTTCAATTCCAATTTGAAACCGTAAATTTAAATCCGAAATTGATCCACAAAGACCGGTTCTTCAATTTTGCAAACCAGAACCGAACTACAGATTAAAAAAATCAAACCAAACCTACAGAATTGGACTGGACTGATTCAATTTACAAATTTTTCGAATTCCTTACTCGGCCCTAGTTATGCATAATTAATATCATGCACATAAGAGAATTGTACCCGTAATAATTTATCAATTGTGGCCAATAGGACATCCTAATCCACAAAATATCATTACAAATGAATACACTACGTTATAATATGCACACAAAAACAAAACAAAACCGTTTTTGGCTCACAGCAGAACCTCTGCATGTACCAGCAATCTTTACCTGCAAATTGGATGGTTTTTACTCCTCATGCAGAGTATTCTGTTGTTTCTTTGAGTTCAAAAAATAAATGAACGACCACTCCACCCTAAAAACATAGCAGCTTCTGCTGAAACAGCAGAACAAAACAAGATCCAAAATCAATTCCAAAATTTTACAATTGAATCAAGTTCTGCAAACCAAAGTCAGATTAGGTGCTAATTTCCGTGCCAGAATTTTTGCATCTGACTGTGTCGGCTAACAGAACAAAACAGAATAATTATTAATACCACGGAACAAGGGGCACATGTAAATCTAAAAAGGTCATCATTATCCCAAGTTTAGTTTCTTCCCACAGAACAAACAAATCCTTGAAAACACATTCTGAGCTCTACAACCATATAATAGCAACTACCCTGAGATGGATATAGAAAAGCTGAGGATACAATATAACAAAGTCTTAGAGCAGGTAAATTGATTGAACAAATCAATGTGAGGTACAAGCAAAAGATAGGCTGCGCATTACTATACTTGATCGACAAGAAAACAACCAACAAATGGTTTCTTGTCAGTAGAAACTATTTTACGATGAGCAAAAAGATAAAGTAGAAAACCCTAATCTTAGAAGAAATAAAAATGAAACAGGAACCGTGTATTCTTCTGATCCTGTAAGCAAATATTCAATTTGCAGACAAAACTGCGGTTAGATTTTGATTTGGGAACGGCAATGCAAGTTCTATCATTGTCCACTTTTGCACCCAAATGTCATCCTTATCAAAATTCTACACCATATAACCAAAAAAACAAATTACCAGTGAATCTCCAGCAAACTTAATATTCTGCTTCAGCTTTTTTCGGCATTTTCCACCAAAGCTCCTTCCTTGGCTACTTTGTGATGCCTACTGTCTCTCCTTCCTTGGTTTCTTCACCGCTCTCTACCATTTGTTCTTCCTTGGCCTGTGTGGTATTAGTCACAAACTCATCTACCCTAATTTCTGGGCCACTCTGCAACATCTCTTTTCCAGCTTTCCCATCCTTAGCTTCTGTAATTGCTTGAAGAAGTTCCAAAGGGGAAGCTGCTGGGTCCAGCTCTTGGCAGCCCTTTGGAGCATTTTGAGCTTCTTGACCTGTGAGCAAATAGTTTGGGACCTGATGAGAGAATTGAAACATCTCTTCTTTTGGTATTCTCCTTACTTTCTCGGGGTCTGTATTTGGACAAAATACAGTCCTGAAACCAGCAACCTTGATAAGAGGAGCAACGTACAAGCCTTGATCCTCATTATAGTCTGCAAGCACTTCCACCATTTCATACTTGTGTATCACTTCATCTGGGGTATGCTCATTCCAATCAGGGGACCAGTTTCTGTAAAGAGCCCACACATCCCCCTTCTTGGGATATATGCCAACAGTCCCACGCGGACCTTTTGCCCACTTAACTTTGTGGGAAAATGAATTTAGAGACTCAGTGAATTCATGTTTGCCGGCCCTAAAATCCCCACAAGTTTTATAGAAACCAGACCCTACCCAGTCTGTTGTACCAAATTCACTGGTGGTTTTTGAGTTAAGCCAACTTACCCGCATCTTAAACGGCGTCAAGGATATTACCTTATGAATCATAGCATAAAAACGTGGCATGCCATCATCATCATCATATGCTGCCCAAACTTGGTTATCTTCGAAAGAACTTTCTGTCCGGTCCTGGTCAAAATCATGAAAATCAGGATCTGGTACATTAATTGACATTGGAGCAAGGTCCTTTTTATCCCCATCAGCAGAAGTGCTACTGAAAGGCTTCTTGGCTTGGTCTCCTTCCATAGAACGAGACACTCCACACCCATTCAGTTCACCGGTGTTGCCTTTTACAAAACTTCTATCTTTTTCTTTTTTGCTTTCCTTCCCCTTGTCTTTCGCTGAATCTACAGCCTTGGTTACAGTCTCTGCCCTCCAATCCTTTAACTTTTTGAAAATCTCAATCCGAGCCTTTGCCATCAGCATGTTCCGAAGCTCAAGAGGCGTCAACTCTGAGGTGCTGTTAAGCACCCTACTATGGACCCTATCTATATCAAAACCACCCTTTCTTAATCCATATAAATTTCCCATGTGAGTTCTACCATAAGCATTACCATCATCATCAAGTCCTTTTCTCCTTTTCAAGAGACTCTCCCAGCCACCAGCAGCCTGTGTTTCCTCACGCTCTCTCTTCAGTTTCTTCCATTTGCCTGGCTGACAACATTTGCAGCTTTGCAGCTACAGAAGATGATGAAACACTGGTACCAGCACCAGCTGGTCTAGCAAATGGGCCCTGCTGGACTTGTGTGTGATTAAACGAATTAAGACCTGCCAATCCTCCTGGTCCTGAATTTTGAGCAGCTCCAGCATATCTTCCCGGATCAAATGGATTACCATTGGCACCATGATGACCTGGATTCTGATACCTTTGGTGAGCCGATGAACTAGATGGCTTTGAATAATTCATAGGTGGAGCCGTCTCTGAAGCCAGAAAAGGCTGTTGGCAATTGGGGCAAAGGAGAGTATGGTTGAGATATATCCTAAGATACTCATAATGCATCTTGCATCGGTGACAAATAGTCCAAAAGGTATCAGTTCTTGGATTGGATGGAGGTGGAACCGAAGTGGGACGCACCCGGGCAGTATTGTTCTGTGCCTTTACATTTGAAGTTGCACTGTTTGGGAAATTATGAAAACCATTTGCATTGGCTGGTGCAGATTGACCCCCACTCTTGGTTGGAACTTTCTGTTGGAATCCTTTTAAACTCCTCCTTTGGTTATATGCTAACCTCTTAGGCTTGTCAGATAACAAACTCCATGCCTCTGAAAGAAGCTTAAATGCGCCATCTGCGCCGACAGCTTTGTTTTTATCAGGGTGAAGCATGAGAGCCAACTTCCTGTACTGTTTCCTTACTGTCTCATCATCAGCAGAGGGGTTTACCCCAAGTACACCATACCAATCCACTTCTCCGCTAATCTTATTCTCTGCAGAGATGTACACATCAAGTGTCATCAACATCTGGGAAAGACCCTCAAGCCCAGGATACAAAGCTTGGGCCTTCAACACAAATTTCTTTGCACCAACAAAATCCTTCTCTGTTAGCTTTCTCTCAGCAATTACTTTTGCCCTGATGGCCTCATCTTTATTGCATTCCATAATTTGTAGTGTGAATCTCAATGTTCACCTCACTATTTGTCTTCTCTATTTGGCACGAACAACAATATTGACGTTAAAAAGTTAGCTGGAACTCAAGCACAAGTATCAGATGCTACAACCAAGGGCCTCCCACGTTTTAAACAAAGTCGCCCTTTCGACAGTCCAGTGCCAGATTTCCTGATTCAAAACAAAGATAGAACAAAGACATTCACAGAAACACAATTAAATCAGAAAGAAGAAGAAGAAAAAAAAGCAACAAATTTGTGGAATGAGAAAATTAGAATGGGGGAAAAAAAAGGTTTAGCATTCTGCCCAAACTTTAAAACGGTAACAATAAATTCATGTTGAACCTAACTAAAGCCAAATGAATCTGGAGCAATAACTACAGTTAGACAACCTTTAAATTTCTGATAAAAATCACATATCCATTGGGCTCTTCAATTCCATCAATCCATTGAATTGACTTGGAAACAAATCTCTCTGTTTTGAATGCATATTAGACTCTTTCTTGAAAACACAACCACTTAAAACGTGTATTCACTAACAATTCAAAGGGGTGCAACTTGGTAGGGTTCAGTCGAGTTGAGGAGTTACCCAAGCCAGGACCAAGTTGCGCTGAGAGGTGTCCCAGCCAGCCAAGCTCGGCCCAGGCTCAATATTTTGAGCTCAGGTTAGCTCAAATTGCCTGAATTTAGATAATAAAATAGACCATCATATCTTCTGAAACTTGAAAATATTTGTAAGGACAAGTTTTGACCTAGTTATATAAAACTAAATTAAACAAAGCAATTATAAGGTAAAAACACAGGTCAAATTGCTTTGATTATACGTTATGATCCAGAAAAGGCTTTGAACAAATTAAACACAAAGCTTTATTTGAAGAAACAGAAACACTGAAGTCACTTTTCCAGAGACCACAAACACAAACATACTTCGTAGATCTATTCACATAAACAGTGTCCATTGTTATTCACACAGATATTTACATCTTTTGAGTCGCAATCGAACGGTGGTGGTGTCGTAGGCCGAGAGACAGTGATGGTGTCACTGCAGTGGTGTCGAGATCTGAAAATGGCTGTAGAGAGAGTAGAGAAAGAGACAACTCATACAAGCCATGATAGCAGAGAAGGGGACTGCGGTGGGTGGATGTGGTGTCACCACTGCATCACTGTTGCTGCCTTCGTCGCCATCTAACAGAGAGTCAAGAAGTTTTCCTTTCCACCACTGTGTCTAAGTTAGACATGAGAACTAAGAAATAGGGTTTCTATCAGAGTTGAGTGATACATATACATCATTTCATCTAATGTTTCAAATCAATTACTCCGAATCTAATGGCTAATAATTATGGATATATTTAGTTTTTTATATATTATTAAATATATACAAATCGGGCTTAAGTTGCTAGGGTTTCCCATGGCCTCTGCCCAAGACCTGCCTGAATTTAATTCAGGCTTCTAAAATGCAGCCCAGGCCCAGACCGAGTTAGAAAAAATGTCGCCCAAGCCCTAAAAATATTCTAGCTGGGGATGGGTTGCTCAGATTGAGTTCGCCCAAGTTGCACCCCTAACAATTTATGGCGGTGAGAAAAAAAACTTTAAATTCAGATCTTCCAATGTGAAGCATGGACAAGGATATGGATATAGGTAAATACAATCTAGGTATGGCAATACAACAAAATCATAAAAAGTAGAATATGGATACAGTATTATACAAAAGTTCAACAAAAAATAGTTTAATATCAAGTCTAGATTGTTTTATTACCCTTCTACTTTTCCCTTTCATACTTGAATGTGTTGCAAGGTTTTAAAAAATAATGTTACGTAACAGTTGTGGCGGTAAGCGCTACCTGTTACACCTGCTTTTGCGGTATGACAAAAGTTCACATATGTAATGGCTGTTGTGGTTTACGTAACAGCCGTAGCCGTAATGGACCATTACACACCATTACACATTCTGCACAGATCATTTTCCAAATATATATATATATATATATACCAAAAGTTTACAAAAAATCAAATGCTTACCAAAATCAAAAACTTACACAATATTATAAGTCATGAACTCTATATTATATAATAATTAATAACATAAATAAAAATAAGAAGTGCAATATGGATTTATATGATATATAAAGTCATTAATTATTGAAATAAAATATAAAAAACTCCATTTATAGTGATTTAAAAATATGAAATATATTGGATCATACTTAAAAACTAACAAAAATCGATCAAAATCTATTTCAAACCCCAATAAATGTGATTCTAAAATAAAAGTAAGCATATCAGTAAGTTTTTTTCAAATTGTGTGAAATACGATTGTTTGGAATGATGTAAATAAGTGTACTTTTTGACTTTTTACGAAAAGATGTGTAGAAAAGTTGAGAAGTGATGTACCCAAAAAAGATAAAAAGATGAAAAGTATACTCTTTTAGTATACCCCAAACAAGGGAAGTTTGAAGCCTTGTCTACAAATAATAGAGCTACTAAGAATGATGATGCGATGTTAAAAGAGGATTTTGCAATGATTAAGGAAGATGTTACAACAATAAAGAGTGATGTCCATACTATCAAAACAACTTTGAATGGATTGAAAGCTTCCATGGAAAGATTGTTAGTTGTTCTAGAGAAGACTACTATCCAGGAGCAAAGGATGATAGTGTTGAAGATTTTGAAGAAACTATGAAAGAACAAGATAACATGTTGCTAATATTTAGAATGTTAAAGAAACGAAAGCGAAAATTAATTTGCTTACTAAAGAAAACATAAAAGATTATCATGATCAAGGTTCTAAAGTCAAGGAAACCAAAAGAAAATGATGCGAATGCAACTGAACTTTCTGCTCTTCACAAGAAAAATGAAGTTCACGTTGAGTTTATTATTCCCAATAAATTTGATGTGGTCAATGGAGTGATGACAATATTGAACTTCTTTATTTTCTCATCATTCGTTCAAAACAATCAATTTGAATAGTTGCAACTGCAAAGTTCCATAATCCTTATGTTTCAACATTATAAAACTCGAGGTCACGTTTTTTTTAATGCAAGGAAAAATGAAGATCATGAAAAGAAGAAAAAAAACAAATCTGAAATTTCACATGAAGCACATTTAGAGCATCAAGAATTAAAGATTTGGAATAATTTTGAGTCTTCATGTCATTATAGTCTACATTACACGGACTCAGGTGCGGGTATTGGGTGTGGGTGTGGGTGTGGGTGTGTATCCAAGTGTCGGACACTTAAAAATTAAAAATTGAGGACACATGGATATGAATCCAAATTGGATACGGATACGGGGATACGTTAAATAGTTATTTTTTAATATATTTATTATACGAAGATGAGTTAAAAAAAGTTAAGAAATAATAGATTCTGTTAAAAGAAATAAAAAATATAAATTATATAAATTATATTATATTATTTACGATATATTATATATGATAAATTGTATTATATAAAATAAATTATATTAAAAAGAAGAGAGAGAGAGAGAAGCAAACAGAGAGGAGTGAGACGAAGACATTGAGCATGAGAGAAGTGAGAGACAAAGAGAATGATCGAGAGAGGGAGAGAGACAAACAAAAGAAGACAAATCAAGATTTTAGAGTAAAACAAGAAGAGGAGATCGAGACGAAGCAAAATCGAGTGAGAGAGAAAGAGAGGGAGATCAAAGAAGATAAAGATCGCACCGGAGATGAAGATCGAACCCCTAATCTTCATTTTTTATAGCCCTAATCGTAGATATGCCATCTTTCTTCATTGTTTGCCGTATCCACTTTCTCCATGCCGTATCCCGGCCAGATTCCATACCCGTACCCATGTCGTGTCGTGTCGTGTCTACGGGTACTTTGCCAGATCTAACAAGTCCGTATAACGTAGATTATAGTAGGTTTTAGTATTTAAGGGTATAATGGTAATTTCAATAATTGTTGTACATAAGTTGTAGGGGTCACCCATGAGTTTATTTTGGATCAAGTTATTAAATGGGTGATACATAGATTTTATTATGTCTAAAATAGTCTTATTGGTCAAAGTCCAAATTTCCTATTTTAATATTGAAGTAGAATTAGAAGTCATTAAAATTTCCTATTATGATTGAAATAGAATTAGAAGTCATAGTCGGCCTATAGTCCTTATAGAATTAGGAGAGACTTTAGCCTATAAATAAATGTGTAATCTCAATGATCAAGGAGAAGAGTTAAGATTATGAAAATTTGTGGTTGTGCTTGTATGATTGGCCTATCCCTTGTGAGGGAGAAGCACTTCTCTCTCTCTCTCTCTCTTTCTTCTTCTTCTTCTTCTTCTTCTTCTTCTTCTATCCAACAAGGTTACTATTCATGTCACCGTTCACAATGCTTAGAATAGCTACCCAACAGCCCCAAAGCACTTGTGTTTTCATTTCCAGAACCCTACCATTTTAGAACCCCTTAAACCCAAATATTTTTAATACTTTTGTAACTACAAAATCCCACTAAATCCAACCCTATAAGTCTATTGTTTTTACAACCAGTATACTTAACCAGGGCTTACTACTTGTGAGAAAGTAATCCCTACTTGTCCTACATCATCCAGTTACCGCAACTATTACGTTACAGCCTTTACACCTCACAACCGCTTTTCGAAACATTGGTTATATACAAAAATGTTGTATCTAAGAAACGCAAACATTTCTAAGAAGGTAACGTATTGTGTCCAACACTCACCGGACACTTCTCAATACTTAGACACATGAAACATATTATAAGCTTGAGTAAAATAACTTGAAATCTAATAATAAAACAAAAACAATATAAATTTATACATATTCTCCTCTTTTAGACTTTATTATAAATGACATAATAAATATTTAAAATTATATATTTTGCACATGTCCCTCACGTGTCGTGTGTCTAACATATTTTGGAATTTGTGTGTTGGAGTGTCCATGCCATGTCACGTATCTATGTCTATACTTCTAGTGTTGTATGCAAGTTCACTCGCTTTAACTATTGAAATCCGATTTTAGTATCATCATATTTTCTAATTTATCTTTACTTTCTAAAAAGTCATAGATATGGATATGAAGTACATATATTAAAAATTTTATAATGATATGTCAATTTGATAAATTTTGAAAAATTAGGGTACTATGTTAATTTCACTAGTTTATGCTTCTCCAATGTTAAGCAAGAATTATTTCAAATAATTTGAATATGTGACTTAGAATATCCCAAGGCCACATTTCATTGCAAGACTATTTTCATGGGATTTGATACAATGGGATTATTGATAGGATTGTGAGGGATAAAAATTATACCATGAGATTAGATGGAATGAGGGATTGGATATATGATAGGATTATGGGGGATAGAATTATACCATGGGATAATAGATGGGATAAATGATTGGATAGAATGAGTGAAGTATTATGTTTGGTTAGAATAAAATGAAAATATATAATTATTTTTTATTGTTGGATGAAGAACAAAAATACTCCGGAGAGGCCTCATTCTTCTAATACAACACTACCTATGTTATTATTTAATCCCCCCCATTTTCTTCTATTTAAGCCTCTATACCACCAGTAAAATTATCCAGAGTTTAATACTATGCAAAACAAACTCCGAATTGGACTATCTGGTGGGACCCACGTGTTCCCCACTTCCAATCCATCTTCCTTATCCCACCATCAAACACCAGATTAATAATCCGGTGAACTCACATGTTCCCTCTACATTCAATCCCCTCTAAAATACCTCAAACGTGCCCCAAAGTATCTAATACTTATCAAAATTAAAGAATATTAATCTCAATTATCAGATATATATCAGCAAGCATCCGAAGAGTACCAGTGTCCAATACAGATATGGTACAGATATGACTTCTTTTTAGAAATATCCGTGCTTCATAAACCTTCTATGACTAGAAATGTGACAATTTACCATAACTACTGACCAGGTCTATACAACATTTATCATTGTATAGGGACACCAAATTTCATTTATAAAAAAAAAAAAACCCGTAACTATAGGCCAGATCTATACTAAGCTATCTGTGTGTGAATTTATCATTGTTCAGGGAACCCAAAATTCATGTCCATGAAAAAAGCAACTTGAATAGCTTCATTAGCAAGACAATCACTGTGTGTTTCAACATACACATCACCTAATTACAATAGTGAAAAGGGAAAAAGAAAAAAGTCACAAAATGCAACCTTTCGTTATGTCAATCTGGTAAATTCAGATTACAAGTGTTCACCACCATGGAAATGCAACTTCGAATTAACACCCAACAAAAAAAAAAAACACCCAATTAACAAAACTCTTCAGCTACAATGAACTTGAAGCAAAAAGAACAAAGATCATACGTAAGATCAAATTTCACAACATTGAGATTCGAACAACAAAACTCAGCATGGATCTATCAAAATTGAAGTGCCAAAACGACTCAGTAACGGATCCGAATTCTCACAACCAGTACCAAAAACTGAAACCCTAGAATCAGTGACACCATGTTCTTCAAATACAATGTTCAAATTAGAGAGCGAAGTGAAGGTAATCGAGAAATTACCTATATGATGATGAGCAAATTTGAATCAACCATGTATTTGATGATGAAGAGTTGTGATGACATTCCGAATTCTCACAACCAGTACCAAAAAACTGAAACCCTAGAATCAGTGACACCATGTTCTTCAAATACAATGTTCAAATTAGAGAGCGAAGTGAAGGTAATCGAGAAATTACCTATATGATGATGAGCAAATTTGAATCAACCATGTATTTGATGATGAAGAGTTGTGATGACATTTGTTTGTTTTCCCACCAAAAAGGCCCAAAGAGAAATGAACCCCTTGGTCGAAACCCCTGAGAAAGCCTAAGAACACAACCCAATTCAACTCCAAATGCTTAAAATATCAAAAAAAAAAATTGGGCAAAAGAAAGTGGGGATGGGCTTGTTTTATATGTTTTTTTTTTTGCTTCCAACTTTCTTTCTTAACTAGGGTTACTTTTTAACTCTTGAGTTTGGTATTCTTGTTTTAATAAATGTTACGTAGTTCGAAAAAGTTATTTGAAAAGTTATCAAAATAAAAGTAAAAGAGTAATGCTAAATACTCTAAAAGTTTTATCAAAATTTTTATCAAATGTTTCATTTGGATGTGAGACCCATATCATTTGTGTCTCATGTGAGTCCCACACATCATATAAGACATTTGATAAAAAATTTAGTAAAACTTTTAGAATCTCTAATATTTTTGATAGTAAAATATGACTGATATTACACTAAAGTCTTGTTTGTCAATAAGTTATTTTAGTTAAAAAGTTATTACAAATTATCATATCATTCTCTTTATTTTTATACGTTCTTTTGTAAAAAATTATTAAAATAATTAATTCCCAAATAAGTTATAAGTTTGAATTTATGTCAATTTATATTTTATATTGTGATGATATTTTTTCGAACTACTTTAAAAATTATATTTTTAGCTTATAAAATAAATTATTCGTGTCATTTTGATTTTTAATGTCTAAATTGTGTTAATTTAACTTTTAAAGTATAAAAAAATATTTTAATTTGATCTCTAACTTGACTTCATCAGTAAAATGCCGTTAGTTAAGAATAAATGTGAAAATTCATTTAAAATCTTGCACTTTTCTCAAAATATGTGTATGTATCACTTTGGTCTTTAAAATTACACATTGACCTCAGTTGTAATGGCATATATTAACAAAATTAAGCTGGGAAACTAAATTAAAATTTTTTTTATACATTAAAGATTGAATTGACACCATTTAAATATTAAGAATTAAAATAACACAAATCTCATGTTTTGGAAACTAATACTCAAGTCAAACAAATATATGAAAATTATATAAGAAATGAGTTGAATTAGAACCTTTACTTTTAAAACAAAATGCTCAATGAAATGAATTAAAAAAATATCATTGTCATATTATCATATAAAAATTATATGAGAATTTAAAATTTTCTTTCAATAAACCATTGTCACAGCACATAACAAAAACCCATGTGACACAAAATGAATCATACTTGTAGGACTCAAATATTAAAAGTCATGCTATTATTATTTTAATGAGAATAGTGTAATATAAATAAAAAAATTTGCACATTAAAAATTAATGCGGTTGGTTTAAATTTTCTTAATTGAAATAAAATATTTGTCATTTTAATTTTTAACTCTCAAAAGTCATTTTCACATCATTTTATACCAATTTTTTGTGTGCATAAATGATTGTGTTGGTTCAATAATATGAATTAGTTAAAATATATCCAAATAGAGATCCAAATTTCTTTATTGGAGATTGCTTTTACAACTTTTTAAATTCTCACAAGGTAGAAAGGGTTTTAGATGGAACCTCTAGTTTAGCAATCTCCTTTGTATGCTTTGATAGTACTCTTTACCTATTTTTAAGAATCTCTACCCATTTGCAACTTGAGAGGAGAAAAAGTTATACAAGTTAAAATTTTGCCTAGATCACTTGAATGATATATAAATGAAGTCTAGATTAACTCTAATTGCAAGCTTATCTTGCTACTATGAAAGATGAAAAACTTTGATATCAGATTGAGATTAGCTTTTTCTAATATGAATTTGAGTTTGAATTTGCTTATGAGTAAGATCTATATTTGATTTGTTAACATCTCGTTTAAAATCAATTTATTATGTACATAAGTATATACTAAACACATTTTAAAAATCGTTAAGTTTTGAAATCAAGTTTGAACAACTTATGATTTGCCTCGATAACTTTATACCAACTATAAAAAATCAACTTACTCGAGCTAACTTCCTTATCAGCTCAATTAAAACTCATGAGATCAACTCAACAAAAACTAAATCAAATTTGAACACATTTTAAAATTCGTTAAGTTTTAAATCAAACTTAAACAAGCTTACTACTCAGCTCAAAGAAAGCATAATTACTAATGTCAGCCTGCCTAAACATAATTAAAGAATCATTAAAAATAAAATAATAAAAATTTACCTTCACACGAATGAAAACCACATGAAAATGTCAGATCCCTAATGTACCTCACGATTGTTCAGGTTATTTCTAGGCATATGAAAATGCATGCCAAACAACTGTACTTCTGAAACCAAAACAAGTTAGCTGATCAAATGCACAACCCATATGAAGTTTCCACATCTTTGTAAGATCATTTCAAGAAAGATTATAGCTATACAAACAGTCGGCAAGGAGAGAGCGGCAGGAAACACTAAGAATTAACAAAGTTACTGGTCCATTTTCATCCAATACAAAGCAAAACTAGAAAGAAACAAACCAATGAATAAACAAATTGCCCTGAGCACGCAGTGGCGTTGCATGTGCAGATTTCAAGCTTGCAGTACCCAAATGTTCTATGATATTCTGTGTGAAATGACAGCTAATTTTCTCTAATCATGGTTGGGGATCAGCTGGATCCACCTTGTCATGGTGAAACTTTACCACAATGCAGGTGATATTGTCAGCGCTGCCACGAGTGTAAGCAGTCTCAGCTAATTTCCGAGCTGCTGCCTCAGCCTCTTCTTCCGTTCGTGCAAGCGAGACAGCATCCTAATAACAAGGTGCATAAATACATCAGCAGATAGTCTTAGTAATAAGAATTTTTTATTTTTATTTTGGGAGAAACTATCAAATAAGTCCTACTTTTTTATGAAATTTCAGTTAGAGTCCTATTAACAGCATGTTGAGAGGGATGATTCATGTATTAAGAAGACTCAATATGAATATTTCATTAGTAAAGTGGGACTTGCTGGGAATTTTCCTTTTTTACTTTTTCTTTTTCTTTTTGTGTGGGGGGAGGGGGGTCTGTAACTTTTTACTGTTTACACATTCTAAGATAAAATAAAAATAAAAAAATAAAAACTTCAATAAAATGGAATAATCTTGCATGTTCATATCGTAACTGGGATGGGGACGAACTAGCAGTCCCAACAGTTGTTGGACCACGAGCATGGTTCTAAATAGCAGTATTGGGACACGTATCGATATCGGTCGTAGTGTAACGGTATTGGGTGTTTCGAGTGATACATATCGGGAATTAGGGAATTTGGTCGTGAAATTTCAAAAATCATTCACAACCCTTTTAAAAGTTAATTATACACAATTTTTGCTATCTTAAACTTAATTTCTCACATTTTAATTTATAAATTGATATATAAATCATTTATATATGATATTTTTATCACATTTAATTAACATTTTCTTTTCTTTTTTGGGATGTGCAGCTCAGTTGAGTCACAGAAAAAATAAAAAGTAGAAGTTTGATGAATCCCACATCTGTAGTGTAATAGCATTTGAGGCATAAGTTAGACTATAAAACAATTGAGCTTGAAACATGAGATTTGCTGGGTGTCCCACATCAGTTGTAGAACAAAGCTTGTGGCATCAACAGGCTTTAAAACCATAGCCCAGCAGCAGCTAAGCTAAAGAGCCGCTGGTTTCCACAAGGACTCGTGTGCAGCTCCAAAGAAATTTTTTTGAGGCAGTGTGTAACAGCCGGTTTGCTCAAAATTGGTTTGTTTATCCGTTACGGGCCTGTGAACTGCCCGTTTTGCTTGAGATTTTTATTCACACCATTAAACCAGTCTGTAACTGGATCGGTGAGGCCATTTTCTGTTACGTATCAACCGGTTCACTACGAACCGGCCGAGTTTTAGAACTATGATTACGACTGTGTAAAGAGTTTCCTGATGACAAGTAAAGAAAACGTTATGGTCATCATTTATCAAATAGCTTACCTCATTGGGTACCACATCCCATAGCCCATCACTGGCAAGCACAAGCAATTCAAATTCTTCATAAATCTCTTGATCCTGAAAAATAGTATAAAATTTGAGGAAATTCATGACTGCAAACTTGAAAACAAGGAAAGAAAATAACTGATGTCATACATGGACTCAAGTACATGTGTTGGGTACACTGTAGTTTTCCATTAAGGCCACCTAGCTATGAACACATTCTGTAATTGCCAATAGAACATTTTTCTACAGTAGAATGAAACAATTATAACTGGAAAATGGATGCTCATATAGAAATTGATGCAAGTAAATGATGATCCAACCATTTCAAGAACCACTTTAAGATACATGTATATTAAGAGAATTACGCACAGATGATTGCCCAACTCAAATGTAATTTTAATTGCCAAAATCCAATATAAAGGTGTTATCTCATTTTTATTTAAATTAAGTGTCTAATATATGCCTGTTACAAAAAAGAATAAAAACCTCACTACTGTGATACCAACTCTATAGAAAATAAAAACCCCATTATTGCAATACCAATTTTACTATTTTTTCAATTAATATCTTGGCTAAATACAACCAACCTACATCTATTTCCTAATACCCTAGTCCTTATTCAATAAATGTACATTGGAACTACTGTTACTAATCAAGTTATTTGAACATACGATGTTATATTGTCAAAGCATAAAGGTAAAGTTTTTCAATGTTCTCATTGACTTAATCCCACGAATACCTTTTTTTATAAAAGATGTAATCCCATCAATACTTGCTAAAATAAGAACTTCAGTAAATACTTGGAGAAAATTTCATTTTTATACTTCCTGTGTTTTAGAAGAGTTTTGAAGATTTCTTAGGAGAAATACCTGGAATTCTTAGGAGAAATACCTGGAAAATATAAAATATTAAAGGAAACATAAAAGGGCGTAGTTTCTATTTTTGTCTTCATTGACTTGGGCTATTGCTCATTGATAAGCAACAAAAAGGGAAATAAGAAATAAAAGGAATTACAAAGAAACTTCATCTCTAAGCACATAAAAACCACAAAATGAATCAACTTATAATTTCAAGGATTACCTGGATCTCAGGTTCTGCCACAACAAATTGCTTCAACATGCGGTTACCAAAAGCACGAGACATTGCTAAGACACCTCCAACTCTCCAAGTGCCTGACAGCAGACCAACACAAGATTCTTACACTGCCAAACATAAGGCCTCAAATATCCTTGAGCGATGATTATCTTATTACTTTATTATCTTGTGAGGCATGTACAAACTCGGGTTCTTATATAAAGACATTATCTATTGACCTTGTCCTATATATGAATAATTTCTAACAAACATACTCATGGATGCAGCATCAACAAGAATATAATCAAGTTTCGGATGGTATGCATAAGATTCTCAAGCCTGGATGCCTTAGAATTTGAGTTGATTTCAGCTGGGATACACTCTAATCAGTCGCAGTGCAAATTTGTTCACCCCATCCCAAACATTCTATGTCCATTTCTAGGCTCATGCTCCAAATCGTCACACTTTCAAACTCTCAGGGATTGCATTGATTACAAAACAAAAACTTGATCCTTTGGAGCATGAGAATATCTACACAACTAAATGATTGCATGGCTAGAGAAGAAAGGTCAGGATTTGGATTCCACCCACGTGTACAAAAGTCAACCCAATCAGAATTCGTGATAATAATAATATAAAAATGCTTCAACTCAGAAGTCCAAACTTCTATGACCTCTAAAATAAATAAAGAAAGAAGGTATAAATGAATATATCCCCTTTATTAAACAAGCTAAAATTATGAGCTAAGACCCATCAAATATTCACCCAGCACCACATTACTTTTGTTTGATAAAAAGGAATGTCATTGCAGTCATCATGACATGAATTTGCAGATTCTCTAATCAAAAGACAGGTTATATAAAAATGGAAGTCTTACCTGCCCACGTTACAACACCTCCAGCACTTTCAATTCTCTTCCGCTCATCACTTCTATTAGGTTTATGATCCTCCGAAAGAGCAATTGCTGTCAAGCAGGAAGAAATAAACTACTTTTAAGAAATTACAGCCACAACTCCACTATGATTCTTTTATTATTAGTTCTCTTCTCTGTTAAAATGTGCATCATGAAGAAAACAAGTAAAAATAACTCAATAACACAAGTAGCATAGCCTGTATAGGGATATAAATCAATACCAGATCAAAAGCCAGCCACTACAAGAATGATGCTGGATGTATCAAGTATTCCTTCTGTTAAGTGGACTCTTCTGTAAAATTCATTACCCTTGTTGACCACACGACGCTGGTAAAGGGTAAGGGATAACACATTGACATGTCTAGTTGGGCAGGCACCAAAAAAGGATGTTTGATAATTTAAGTTTACTATGCAACAAGTAATTTAAGTTTAACAGTAAGGGATATCCATGCCATGCAATTTCAATCATGGTATCTGTTTTATGGTTATTCCACTCATAGTTGTCAAATCGGGATTCGTATCGTGAATCGAAATAGCCTCGTACTGAATCGCAAATCGAATCGAATCGTGAATCATAAAGATTCGGTCACTTTTTTTAAATTACTTAAAAACATATATCTACACATTTAAATGTTAAATATATCTTATGAATATAAAATATTTAGACTTAAATCAACAAAAATGTTATTTTGAATGATAATCACGTAATTTAATAGGTAAGAAGTTAACAAAGATTCCTATGTAAAATCACCATCTTACCTTTTTTTTTTTTATATCGAATCGCGAATCGTAAGATTCTGATAACAGAATTTCCACTAATAGTCCCCCTTTCAATGTTTCACTTAAAAATGAGCAAGCTATCCTCAATTTCAACCAATGCGTCAAGATCAAACATGTTATGCTTCACCTGAGATATAGGAGTCTTTTTTGACTCAATAATTACCAACCTTAAACTTAAAAGACAATACATAATGTGAGAAGTACCTTTGCCAGCCTTTGATATTACAGTCCGTGAATCTCCAACATTCGCAACATATAAATGGTTACCAACCAGAACTGCTGTTGAAGCAGTAGAACCATCATCACGAAAAGTATTTTTTTCGGACTCTAAAAAATCCATGTCTGTTTGTTGATAAGTTTCACCTGCAATTTATACAAGTTACTAGGTGAAAAATCTCTGCATAATTGAAGAAGTGATTTGTCCAGGATCCCACACCCTGCAAACAGTACATGAGATTGACTTGAATGCCATTTTAACATTAGGGTCTGTATGGTACATATTTTTTTCCTCTGCAAGTTTACACAAGATACCAGGCCAGATGTCTTAATAGGTAAAAAAGTGACCAGTCCAGGATCCACACCCTGCAAACAGAATATGACATAGACTTGATTGCCATTTTAACATTTACAGCCTGTCCTCCTATGTAAACTTTTACCGGCTTAACCATTTTTTGCCAGTATGGGATCCCGCACTATGGCTGCATAATCTGATCTAGGGAGAAAAAAAATTAATGCTTGCAACGGAACCTTAGAAACTTGACTCACTAATAGCCAATTTGGTGTTTGTTATAAATTGTGGATGCTTCATCAGATTCTCAAAGAGATGTCGCTTCAAAAACTCAGCCGCACGAGAACCACCATGACCTGTTGCAACTCATCGTATTCATAAAAATAGATCATAAAATTTAAAAATTTACAAAAAAAATTCATAAAAACCTCAAACATTACTTATAAGCAAGGATTTAGTCCCTGACAGATGTTCACAAAAGTAGCCGAACTGTCTGGAGAATTGGCCCATGCCGACAGACTTGGAGCTCAAGTCATCTATGACGTGGCAATTCAGAGCTCTACAATAAAAGAAGGGCCTATCTAACTGTAATCGTTCAATTAATAATATTCCTTCACTGAAAGATCATAAATAAACCAACGCAAATGTGATGAACGGATGCAATGACTACAAAGTTTTATTGTTCTGTTTACTTATGCAACCTGCCATGTGTGAGCTATTAAATATAAATATATCCGTCTCAACACGTCCAGTTTTTTTTTTTTTGTCGATAAAAAAATATTTATTAGAAGACCATCAAAAGGGGATGCAATGCAATGCAAATACATAACAACACATGTCCAGGTATCTTACCATAAATTGGTAAAACCTAAAAGACAAGGATATTCCTACTCCAATTATTTTATTCTGTAAGAATAACATATGTGCAATTCAACATTCTTGTGTTTCACATATTGGAATCCCTGTTTCTATGTCAGTCACAGACACTTGAGCAGTAACCTTCTTACATAGCTAGAACTTGTATGCTCAAAAGGTAAAAAAAAAAAATTAAACATTAAAAAAAGGAGAGAAAATATAGCATCTCATGTCATAATTCACGCTTGAAGGTACAAATGTGGTGAAGAACTCTGACGTAAAAGATTATCAGAAAAAATCTAACCATCAAATACTCCAAACATGCAGACTCTTTTCCCATCAATCTCACAAGTTTTAACATCAAAGAAATCCTCCATGCTTGCTCTCTTTCCCCTAAAACTTGAATATCCACTGCTCAGTTTTCCGTCTTCACTGTCAAATCAGAAGAGAAACAAAAGTAAGTAACCGCAGCTTACTAGAGATAGAATAATAGCCTTAGTTTTAAACAATAGAGTCAACTTTAGGATCCCATGACCTGATGTTATTAAACTGATCATCATCCAGAATGGTGGCAGCCACATACTTCTAAGAATAGTGACATTATACAAACAAAATAAAATACACAGCATTTGTAAACAGAATGATGTGCCTACATTGTGACTAATCATTTTAAAACAAATTTCCCATTTAAATGACATTTAACTATAGAAATGTCACCGCCACATTATTTTGGTGACAAATTATGTATGAATATCATTTTCCTACTTCTAATACCCTTCTTCAAGACTATGGATTACGTAGAAAATTATCTTTAAACACAATATGAGCAATTCTATCATCCTGGAGTGACAAACATGCCCCAACCTCTCAAGTAACACAAGGCATAAAAGACGGTGATTCAGAAGTTGACTCTAGAATGACCAGGCTGAGTTCACATCCAATCTGTGCATATTCATTTCCAAGTGGCCATAAAAATACGTTCTAAAAAGGACTACAAACTGCACAGGCTTTAAATATATCAATCTGCTGCTGTGACGGGAAAAATCTTACAATATACTAACAAACAAATGATGAGATGGAAATTTTAAAAAACCAATCACCTTTTCCACCCTCCACCAGTATAGCCACCATCATCATGTTTCTCTGGTAACATATCAACAATGGGTGCTCGGTTGGCAGTTGCACCGGTATCTACCATCATCTCTACTGTCTTTGTAAATTTACGATTCAACGAATAAGTTAAGCCGCTAGAAGCATTCAAATCTCTTCCAAAGTTGCACAATTGCACCCTTCCCTTGGCGAATCTCCCAATATACCCAGCTTGAAGAATCACAGACCTTAAGCTACTGTTGCATACCATTAAATCCACAACCAATTTCCGGATTTCCACCCTGACAAACCAAAGCAATTTCTAACTATTGTCATAAAATTCACCATAATTGGATATTCGAGGCTGTCAAATCACACAATTATATCTATGTTTAGTTGCTGAGAAAGTAAGGAAAAAGGGCATGAAATAACACTATTGTTCGCACAATTATGTTCGATTCATTTCTTAAAAATGCAAACTTCTAATTCAGATTGTGCAATAATTGTGTTAGCCTCACTTCACATAACTAATGGAAAATTAAATAATATAAAATTTCAAAGAACTTTCATTTTATGTTGCTTCTGCTTCTGCAAAAAAAGCAAAAAAACAAAAACAAAAACAAAAAACAAAAAGCCTCTATACCAAGCACTTACATTTGCTCATTTTCAAAACTTTTCTTGCTTTCAATTAACATAAACTCGTGAATCTGTAATTCTAAATCTCTTTTTCTTCACCTACATCTGATTAACACTTAAAAAGAGAAACACATAGAAATACGTGAGAGAAACAAATATCAAATTAATTACTCTCAAATATCAAATTAATCCATAATCATGATTACGAAAAATTACTCGACAATTAACGAAATCGAAGCTGATTCAATTGAAGATGAGTTCAAACTATTACAGATCGGTGCTTGAAATCTTCCAGGTTCAGCTCCGGATGGAATCGGATCGAAAGACAAAACTGTCAATATCGTAGAAGATCCGAATATGAGATACGAGTGAAGTGAGAAAATCAAGTTGAATCCAGCATAATTGATAAAGAAAGAAAACTTTTTCTCTCTCTGTGAGAGATTGGAAGAGAATCAGAAGCCCTTAGGGGAGGGAGAGAGAGAGAGAGGGTCGTTCGTAGCTTGGCACCGAAGAGAAGGACCAACGTGGCAATGCTCATGCAGCCATTTGGGGGTGATTGGGTTGGGTTGGGGGGTAAGTTTTTTTTACTTTCTTTCTGAGAACTTTCTCTGATACAAATACAAGTTAGTGTGACCTGTAAAAAGAGGCCGAGTTTGGTTCGGAGATAGAAATAAAAAAGTTTGAGTCGAGTGTGATTTAGCTCTTGATATTTAAAAATCATTACATAATTTTTACATAGGTTGTAGATCGAAACGTATATTAATTTCTGTTAATAGAATTTATAAATTGACAACAATTATATCTAGTATTTTTAAAGGTAAAAGTGCAAGGCGAGGTGTTTTATTATTGTTGAGGCGAGGCGTAAGTCTTGCGGCGTTAAGGCGTAAGTTTTTTGAATTTTCAATTTTTTATTTTTATAAAATGCAAAATTAATTAAATATTGCATAAAAAGAGTAAAAAAAATAAGAATTACCAAATAAAATTTTTAAAAGCAATTCTAAGCATAAAATCAAAATTAATTAATAATTTCAAGTATCGTAGGAGCTTTCTAAGTCATTCTTATTAATACTATAATAAAAAAAATAACTTAAGTGATGGTAAAAAATAACTTAAATTTCAGTTGTTCAATAAACAAAATACCTTAAACTCTAATACTCTATAAACAAAGCAATAAATAAATAATAAGTCACTCTAAGTCATCCTCATTAATATTGTCATCATTTTCGTCCGCTATATCTATAATGGGATAGGTTCCATTATTTATTCCACCAACTTCTTCCAACTCCATATCTTCATCCACAAGGTGCATCTTGTTGCCTTGTCTTTTCAGAAATAAGATTTCAAATTAATTAAATAGGCATATATAATAATATATATGCAACTAGTCCATAATTGTTTAATAACTTACTTGAACCTTCACCAACTTTTCTTTTCTTTGCATTCGAAGATGATTCAACATTAATCGTAGTTGTAGTTGATCAATTCTCCACACTTCTATCATAGATAGTGATAGGCACAATCCTAATTGCTTCAGCATCGAGCAATTCTTCTTCATCAAGCCAAGAAGCATCAAGTGGGAGGACAGGATCTTCCTTTTTAGCAATCCATTCATCATCCGAATCAATTTCATCAATTAGTATTAGATCGATGTTTTGTCTTCTTCTGATACTCATCTCTGTTAGCTTAGTGTTGTACTTCACATAGACCAAAGCATTCAAACGTTTGTGCTCAAGCCTATTCCTCTTTTTTGTATGAATCTAATATAATAATATAAGATATGAAATATAACAAGTTAAAAAATAAATATTTTATTTTATGCATAAGAGTGTTTAGGAAAGAAAAATATATTACTGACTCAAAGGTGCTCCAATTCCTCTCACATCCCGAAGCACTACAAGTTAGACTAAGTATTCGAATAGCAAATTTTGTTAACTCTGGTACTTTGCTCCCAAAACGAATCCACCAATTAGCTACATAATTTGAAAAATGCACAAATGATTTCAATCTCGTATTTAAATTTTAATATTAGTTTCATATTAGTAATGATTAGCTACATAATGTAATTGAAAAATTATTTTCATATTAGTTTCTTATCGAGAGAGCGTATCGCTCTGGAATCAATTGCAACACGACTTCTGAATTCCGCTTTTGCTTGGTCATAATAGTCCAATTGGATATTAACCTTGAGACGCTCATCATAACTCAACATTCTATCCATGCACTGATACAATCCTTGCTTCACCTCCTCAACATTGGAGAAGGAATCTCGATAGCGCAACTGAGGGTTTAGATAATAACCAGCAACATGTAAAGGTCTACGAAGTTGTGGTGTCCACCTTGCATCTATCTTATTTCAAATTGGTCCGTACTTCTTAATATTTTCTTCACAATTGAAAGCAATCTTTTCTTTAGCTGGATCCATTAACTCATAAATGTAACCCATAGCAAGTCTCTTCCTCTGAATCAACTTCTCGCAAAACACTAACCAAAGGTATTGTGCTTTTGATACAAAAAGCAACATTAGGCCAAAATTTTGAATCAAACAACACAGTTGCACGAGCTTTTACCCCTTCAACCTTTCTTTCCCAACTACTAGAAGCCCACTTTTCTGAAGAAAACATAGCTTGGAGTGGTTTCTTTTGTTTGTGAAGACTTTGGAGAGTAAGATAAGCAATGGCAAACCGTGTTACTGCTGGACGGAATAATTCATTGTTCTTTGTAAATGATCTCATCATTGAAAGAACCCAACAATGTCCATATATAAACTTGACCACTTGCCTAGCTAACGAGAGAGTTTGATCATAGACTTTCAATTTTCCAATGTCCTCTAACATTAAATCAATACAATGCGCAGCACATGGAGGCCAATACAACTTATTCATCTTCTCCATAAGTCTCTGCCCGGCATTGACACAGTTTGAAGCATTATCAGTAATAACCTGAACAACATTATCTTCCCCAATATCATCTACGACACTATCAAGATTGTTAAACATCAACTCCCCATTTTTATAGTATCAAATGCATCAATTGATTTTAAAAACCAAGTTCCAGCAGGGCTATTCACAAGAAAATTAATAAGAACTCTACTTTTCCCATCTGTCCAACCATCAGACATAATTGAGCATCCATGTTGTTTCCATGCTTTCTTATGTTCCTCCATCATGACATTTATATTTTCTACTTCTGCTTTAAGAATCCAAGTCCTCAATTCATGCATAGAAAGGGGTTTGAATCTAGGTCCATAATTTGCAATTCCATCAACTGCAGTTACCCGATCATTCACTAAATTAAATGGAAGAGCTTTACAATATATAAAACGCCCAATCTTTGGACACACATCTTTTCTTTCTTCTTGTTTCTATTTGAAGTTCAGTATAGATTGTCGTGCTTGAGAACTAGCAAATTTATCATTTGGACCCCTCGGTTTTGGTGGTTGTGTCATACTACCAATATCGCTTTCAATAGATTGAGAAGCACTACTATTGCCCTTTGCTCCAGCACCCATCCCAATTTCATACAGCATTTCATTACGGGCACTTTTTTGCTCAAAGAAATTTTTTAATGCTTGTTGGCATTCCAACTTTACATCTTCAGGAACTTTTGAACATGGTTTAATGCCTTTATGCGTATCGGCTAGATGATTTTTAAATCGACTTAGTACCACTACAAGTTTGATCACAAAATTTACATCTAAAATATTTTTCCCCATCAACTTCTTTTACATTCTTCCAGACAAAATCTTTTCTTTGGCCTTTGGGTTCAGTCATATTTTTTTTTGTTATCTCTACAAACTTATCAACAGTAGCACCGTTACTATATAAAAATAAACAAATAAAAAAAATAAAACAAAAAACATACTGGTTAGGTGGGATGGGATGGTAAAAACAACAATGATACATCCCACTAATTTGGGAGCACTAATGGACCACTAATGAGGTGAAAATACAAAAAAAAAAAAAAAAACTTAAGGCCAAAACATCACATCAATCAGTAGGACCCACTCTCTAGAGCTCCTTTAGTGCTCTCAATTTAGAGCTCTCAAACATTTTTCTGGTAAAAAAAAGAGTAGAATATTAATAATAATAATAAAATAAAATATATAAAAAAAAATAATAATAATAATAAATTAAAGAAGAAGAAGCTCAGTTATAATAATAATAATATATTAGACTAATAATAAATTAAAGTGGAAGAAGCTCAGTTATAATAATAATCATATATTGAACCAATAATACATTAAAGAGAAAGAAGCTCAGTAATAATAATAATATATTAGACAAATACATAGATATTTGTGTGTGCACAAAAACAGAGATATAGATACATCAGCCCTTGATCAAAAACAAAAAAAACATTTATACATCTCAGTCGGATGGAGAAACAGAGAGAAGCAACGAGAATAGAGAGAAAGAGAGACGATGCAGAAAACAGAATGAGAGAGAGAGACTTCGTACCTAGAAAACCCTAGTTTGTTGGAGAAGATTAGAAGACTGATTCGAACTTGTTGGGACTCTGATTTGAAGAATATCGACTTGCAAGGTATTTATATCTTCTTCTTGAGCAATTTCTGTTTCAATCGAAATCGTATATAGCAAGTTTCCACCAAATACTATCGTTTCCCTTTTTTGATTTTTGAAATCGAACTCCTCAAAGGCTTGCGTCTCGCTGTTGAAAGCGTGAAAATCGTATAAAGCGCAGCAGATGCTTACGCCTCTGTGTTTGATACGTACACATAGCTGGTGTCTCACCCAAAAAATAATGCATCTGTGCGTTTTCCGTACGCCTCGCCCCAAGTTGCGTATCATATATGCCTTTGAAAACTTTGGTTATACCTTTCTTTTCTCTCTCTTCCTTCTCTTCTTCTCCATCATAGCCAAAAGTGTTATATCCTTATTCTCTCTCTCTTCCTTCTCTTCTTCTTTCTCCCTATCCACATTTTATACATACATATACATATATACATATCAATACCATCATTATCCAAACCATTTGCCTTCGATTTCAATCTCTCACTCTCTCGTGCATCACTTGCCATTGTTTGAATTTCAACAATTTTCTCTTCCAATTCAGAGCCACCCACATACCCAATTCCACCTTGTTCGAAACCCAATTTCACATTAAACAAATTTCCACTTCCATTCAACAAAACACTTGATTTAGCTTCATGCTACCAACTCTAACATATATATATATATATATATAAAGCTACAAATTGCATATATATAATCTGTATATGTATTCCTAAAATCTATTCAGATGCTTAATTTCAATAACAACAACTCAATCTCACAATTAGTTACACCCGATTCATCAATGTTCAGGTGCTGCATTTTGAAACCCGATTCCAAAATATTGCGAGGATAACTGATATCCAGTTTGTCACGACCCAAACCCGGCCCTATGGGTTTAGCACCGTAACCGGCCAGTAATCCGAGATTACCGAAGGCCTGCTTAACAGTAGTACAGTAAAACAGAGTTCAGGGCCCGACGGAAGCCAATATAGTAAATAAATAATGTCCATTGAGCTATGACAGTCTGTATGCCAAAAAGATT